CAGGCACTTTGGGTATGTCAAGCAGCAAAATATTTACCTATTTTGTATTACTTTCAGCAATTGAAAATAACAATCAAATATATGCCTTATTTAGTAGGGGAACTCAGAAGTACTTTTATTTGTAGACGGCATAAAAGGCCTTTAAAATTAATTCATTCATGATTTCCATTCCTCTGCACCCTAGATTCAAACAAATTTCTGAGATATGTATATTAAACATGTGCAATTAGTAAAAGTCAAAAAGTCTTAAATTCTTAGCGTACACAAGCTACCAATGCATCTCAGCAGAGAAATTTCACAGAACAGTCTTTACTATCATAGTCAACAATGAAACATTCAGATCTTATTCATCATCTTTCAACTTCTTTAAAGGAAGGAAGCCAGGAATAAGATTAGAAGACCAGAAAGTCCGTTTGCAGCCTCTGAATGCAACGCCTTCCTACTACAAGCAACCAAAGTTTAAGGAAGGTAAATATTACAATGTGGTTTCATGTTCCAAGAAGACTTTTGGGGACTTTCTTCCCACCACTTCAGGGTCTGCTCCACAACTTCCTTTGGCTGACAGACGTTTCTTCTATTTCTATATAATATTTGCATTATCAATTTACAAAGTCAGGGACTCCAAGCTGTCAAACAGGTTTAGGGACAGCCCATTGCTTTCAAGCAGTGGTGGGAAGGCAGCAAACGTATCCTGGCCACATGMTATTTTCCCTGGCTACTAGAAATGCCCACACGTTATTTCAAGCATCCAGATGGTACCTGGTCTGATGAGTCGATACCAGAAATTAGTGCAAATAAACCAGTTGAGGCTCCTTACGCTTATCACATGCCTGTCTCACCATCCCTCGGTAGCTAAACTGCTGTCAGAGTAGCAGGGAAGCCACAGTAAAGAACTTCTTTGCTGTGAGGGTGACAGAGCCCTGGAACAGGCTGCCCAGGGAGTTTGTGGAGTCTCCTTCTCTGGAGGTCTTCCAAATGCACCTGGATGCCAGCCTGTGCCACATGCTCTAGGTGTCCCTGCTGGAGCCAGGGGTTGGACTAAATGAACTCTAGAGGTCCCTTCCAACTTTAACCATTCTGTGATTCTGTTATTCACAGGGCATGCAAAGCACTGGTTTTGGGCTAAGGAATCCCACCACACTCCAGCTGGTTCTGGAAGTCCATATATGTATAAATATATACATATAGTTTAGCTAATRCATCTTACAAGCCCACCCACAACATCACACAGAGGACACTGACATCTGACTGACTGGTACCATTGGGATTTGTTTTAAAAAAAGTATGTTTTGTCATCTTTCCACTGCAAACTGCATATCAGCACAGYTGTTCATGCACAACAGCACGTATGAGTCAGGCCCATGCTTGCAGGTCTTTTAAAATCATCTCAAAGTTCATTAAAAGCTTCACTTGTTCTAACACTGAAATTGATAGTAAAAGCCTATCAATTTCAGCATGAGGAAAAAATCAGCTCTAAGTACTGGCAGCGCTGGAGCTGCAATCCCCAACAAGGGGCTTGCTTACTTCTAGATAACTACATATGACATCTATTTTGAACAGTAATTAGCATGGTAACATTCAACAGGTCATTTGACTGCAGTGTGACTGGCTCTCAAAGCATTTTTTGTTCATGTGTTTCCAGCTAGAACACAAGAGCCTGGAGGATTCAACCCCTCACCCTTCGGTTCAGTTCACTTGTAACGACAGGACTGAGAAGTTTGTTTTGAGCTTTTACATATCAATAAGATAACTTATCATGACACTCTGCTTTCATTGCAGACAGYAACTAGCAGATAATAAAGAATTTTAGATTTTAAAATGCAGCTTTTTCAAGAGACATTTTCAGTTCTGTCAGGCCCACTCTTCCAGCAAAAGATACCACTCCGCTACACTTAATGTATATCAGGATTAACCACAAGCATTTCTTTAGAAATAGATCCTGAATTTCTGTAGTTACAGAGCACCTTCAGTTCAGCATCTTCAGCAGTTACAGGATGCATCTTCAAAGGGCATTCTTAAGCCTGGTCACCCTGACACTGGACCCTGATACCAGCAAGCAATAGGTTAGCCATAAAGACTAACACTAGATTCATCCTACTGGCAGGAGATTTAAGAAGAGGAGCGATGGTCACAAACTGAAACACGCAAAAATCTACCTGAACAACATCAACTATTTCCATTGTGAGGGTGGTTGAGCATAAACAGGTTGTCCAAAGACGATGGGGAGTCTCTATTCTTGGAGATGCTTGAAACACATCTGGGTGCAGTCCCAGACCATCTGCTGTAGCTGATCCAGGATGATCTCCAGGAGTCCCCACCAACCTCACCTATTTTACAATTCTCACACAGCTTTTCACTCATGCAGCTAGATCATTAATAGGTGCTTTGTTTTCCATTCACTGAATTTCACTTTGGCACAATTAAATTTAGACTAAACTCAAGTTCAGTCATTAAGAGCACTCACCTTAAATTTGCATTTGTGAATCCATTCTTTTTGACAGATTTTTAATCACGACTCAGACCATCACTACACTCATATTTAACAACAAAAAAAAAATGCAGCGCTGGATGTTCTAAAGGAAATTGCCTACTAAAAGAAATCATTGAGTCGAGTTCTGCACTAGCAGGTGAAAAACAATTACCTTGCATGATGTAGCGTCACACTGAGATCAACCTGATTTTTGCATTATAGAAGCCGCACATAAACCAGAATGACTTTTCCATTTTATCTCTCGTTTCCATAAGAAAGAATATGAAAAGCAGAGGAAGATAAGATCTAGAAGGATAATCAAGATTGCACTCCTAATTAAACCATAGGGGAATGTGCCAGGGCGCTCATTCTCCTAAGCTTTAATGCTTTAACTGATTCTGTCTGCAGTTTCTGAGGAAAGCAAAACAYCTGCAGGGTGACAGCCCTTGAAGGRAGAGTTTTGCAATTCAGGAACAGACATGAAGCYCAAGTAATAGAGCAAAATATGATGAACTGTTATCAACATATTGCACCGTAGCACCAGAGGTCCTCAATTTAATTGCAAACAATGATGTAACAGATACTGAAACACACAGTCCTCGCACTTGTGCAGCAAAGCGAAACTCCAGACTGCCACGGGCTTACACTGCTACAATTAACATTTCTGCAGCAATCGTACAAGTGTCCTACATAACTTCCAAATATTTACTTAACTAGAATATCCTGTAACTGATGATTCAGTTTCTGTTCCTATAAACTCCTACAAGTGTCCACTCCTGCAAAAACAGAGTTGTTTTGGTCCCTCTTCCACAAACGAAACAGCATGACTAAGAACAACAAACTTTTATTCRAAACATTCACTTATTTCTTGCACAAGCTTCAGACATGCTGAAATCAAAGAGCTCAGCAGGGAGAAGGCCATACTTTATCTCCGGAGCAATTCAAACCTCTCTGTAAAGTTTATCCAAGCCAGGCCTTATGTTCATGTTCACTAAGACAGAACTGGATCACATTTTACAGGGAGCACTTGCTCTGAAATCCAAGTCAATATTTGTGCAAATCCCATGGTCAGCAGCCTTCTCCACTCCCTGCTTTTGCCCAAAAGAGACCAGGCTGGTAGGACCAGCTTAGCCAAGAACCAGTTATCTCCTCACTCCAAGTTGATACCTATTGATTTCTCATGACAGCTCTTCATCCTCACACCTGAAAGTGAGCAGCAAAGTAATCTGGAGCACTTGCCTACTTCATATCAACATCAACTGCACCAAATCAACTTGATTCAGTTGACTGCAAAACCATCAACTGCAAAAMTTGGAAGTGCAGACTCATATCTTATGCAATTTCAGAAGAAAAGCACATCTTTTGTAAGCATTTATTCCCCCTAAAAAAACTTTTTTTGTTGTTCTTTAGAAGAATGGCACAATAAAAGGCATCACATTCAAGAGGGGAAAAGCATAGCCTTAGATACAGATTGCTAAACTTTTTTCTGCAAAGCTTGGACTGCCTCACTTAACCTTGCTCCTAATGCTCTCCAAAATTAAAGTGCTCATGGAAGCAGGACGGCTGCCCAGCAAGCCAAAGGCAAAATATCAGCAAACAGAAGGAAAAAAAAATACAGAGTTATCCAAAGGAAGAATGTGATGGAGAGGGAACATTTTGCTACCTTTTAGAACACACTCCGGTTTTCTCCAAATTCACCCCTGCCCCAAACAACAAATACAGCAAAGGAGCAGTCCAAACTCCTCACCCTCCCACAGCTCAGCCAGGACCCCCCCATCACCTCCCCCACCCCACACTGACCCCTTCATCCTCCCAAAGCCCCACAGCCCCGTATGAGGGGACGGGGGAACCCTCACACAACCCCCCCCCATTCCAGATGATCCTTCCCCATCCTGTCCTTACTCTTCACATAACCCCACACACCAGTATGAGGGAATGGGGTGCCCCTAACACAGCCCGCCATTCCAGATGATCCTTCCCCATCCTGTCCTTACTCTTAACACAACCCCACACACCAGTGTGAGGGAATGGGGTGCCCCTAACACAGCCGGCCATTCCAGACCGACTCTCCCATTCCACCCCCCTCACATGGTCCCAAACCCGACACCCGTCCCCTCCATCCCCTCACAGCTCCCTACACCCCCCAGCCCATCTCCACTCTTCACACAGCCCCACACCCCAGCTGTGACCCCTCCATCCCATCCCCTCACACAGCCCCAAAGTCCCCCCAACCCCATCCCTACTCTTTACACAGCCCCACATCCCAGACCAACCCCCCATCCCGTCCCTGCTCCTCACGCAGCCCTATGCCCTACTGCGAGGGGATAAGGGTCTCTGGAGAARCCCCACATCCAACACCAACCCCTCCATCCCGTCTCCTCACACAGCCTCAACACCTCACATCTCACAGGCCCAGCACCCCACATCTCCCCTCACACGGTCCCAACACCCCAACGCCGCCCACTTCACCCAACCCCTCCGGTCTCAGCGCGACGCTCCAGCCCCGGCTCCGCCTCGGGGCCCTCGGTACCTGCTGCGAGGGCAGCTCCACATGCCAGGCCCGCGCGGCGGAGCCCGGCGGCAGGGGCAGAGCGGCGGGGCCGGCGGCCGAGCTCATCCTCGCATGAGCCCCCCGCGCCGCCCCCCGGCCGCCACCGGCCACACAGGGGTTAATGGCGGCGGCAGCAGCGACGCGGGGCCGCCCGCTACGGAGCCATATTACCGCAGTGCCGGGGGGCGGCGGCGCCGCCCGYGCGCTCATTGGCCCGCTCGCCGCCGAGGCGGGGCTGAGGGCGTCGTCTGCGCCGCGTCATTGGCGGCAGGAGAYGTCAATCACTTTCCCCTCTCCGCGGCCTCTGTCAAACCGTTGGCGCGGGGCCTGGCGCCCCATTGGCGCGCCCACTTCCGGAAGGCGGGGCAGAACTCCAAGGAGCGAGCGATGATTGGGTGGCGAGGGACCGTGATTGACGCGGCTGGCCCGCTGGTCACGTGGGGAAGAGCTGTTTGTATCACGTGGTGGGACGAAAATATTTTGCTGGGCGGGAAAATGAGGGGGTGGGGGGGAGGCGCTGTCGCCATGGCAACTGAGGTGCGGCCTAGCGCGGCCTGCGCGACCTCGGCCATGCCTTTCCTTTTTCCTTTTTCCCTCTTTCCTCTTTTCCTTTTTCCCCTCTTTTCTTTTTTCTTTTTTACTTTTTACTTTTTACTTTTTCTTTTTTCTTTTTTCCTCTTTTCCATTTTCTCATTTTTCCCTTATCTATTTTCTCTCTCTTTTTTTCTTTTCCTATAGCTTTTTTTTTTTTTACTATTATTATTTTCATGGCATAAGAGTTATCCTGCTATTTCACTATTTTCAATAGGAAATCACACGTGACTGGCTAGCAGTCATGCCTCCAAGCTATGTTACCTGAAACAATCTTTAAAAATAATATTTTTGCCTCTGTTGGTATATGTTGTATTCACCTCCTACTTTCTGGTTCCCTGTAGAGCACAGGCTTCTTAATCTTAATTTTTTTTCACCCTCCTCCTGGAGGCAGGAACCTTGCTTTCTAAAGCAAAAGTTGTGCTTCTCTGCCCAGCCATTATTCCAGAAATGAATGMGCTAAAAATGTACTTGGAATCCCCCAAAACAGTCATAAAACCATGAGATTAGGTAATGCTTTATGCCTTTGAAGCCGACTAGGTGTGTTTCATCCAATGAGCATCACTATTTCTGGCTTAAAGTTATATTTGCCACTAGCATGACAGTACTAAAGGGGGATTTTTTTTTATTACTAACTGTCACTAAAAACCATTTAGAGGAACAGTGTGATTATGCCAATGATTGTTTGTCCAAAACAAAAAAGTCAAAATAATTAAAAAAAAAAGTGAGTTATTAAGTGTCACAGGCTATATTTGAATAATGAAGTGAACAGAAAATGGGATTTACAGAAGAAATTTAATACCTATGTAGATGCCAACACTATGGCACTTCAATGAACTACAGAGAGACACCACACAAACAGTCACATGCAAGCTACCATGCACCAAGAAAATTAATAATTTGGGAAGCTTTGGTGCTTTCTGCATTCTGTAAACTGATGTGTGACTCTTTTGGGATTGAATTATGCTGATTTTGAGAATTTAAAGTTCATGATGTATTGCATGAGGAAGATTATGGAGCAGCAGCAGGGCTTTGCTGTTCAAATGCAGTTGCACAGCAGTGGACGACTCTCAAAACCTCCATGAAATACTGGGTTTGCATAGAAAAGCACCATAATGAGTAATTGCAAAATGATCTGTATACACAGTGCCATTTTCCTGGTAGTACTGAGTCGTTCCTGGGACAGAACAAGGAAAATTTTCGTCCATTTGTCAAGTCTGACCTCACATAGCTGACGTGGCCATGCAAYGGAGAGGAGTTAAATAATTTATAATATGCATGAGTTCAACCAAGATTACCATTGTAGGCTTAAAATTATTGGTTTGTTAGTTAGTAAGGATTGGTGGATTATTTTAACTGGAGTGTTTCCAAATGTCACCTGGGGAGGACTGTGGCTTCCTTTATCCTTCACTTATTAACAGCAATAATAATGTTGGAACACTATTGCAGATCTCAGTTGTATACTTGGCCTCACCTAGATCCTGTTTAATTTACTGGTGCCCTGGGCAGTTGCCATTTGAAWTTTCAACCAAATTAAAAAGATTGATATTATCCATCTGCAAAGTTTTGAAGATCCTAGAATGACCTTTATTATGTTCCTGTGGATGTTCCTCAGTSAATTCCTATTATAAATGGTGAAATTTCTGCAGCATTCCTAGGATCCTTACCTGGCTCTTTTCAGTGCTGTTCTAGTCAATCCAGTAGGCTACCTGGAAAAGAAAGAGTTTTCATAATTATCATCTGATTTCTACAGAAAAAATATAAATAAATGCCCACTAAGCATATATGTCTTTGTAGTCATATAAGGGCTAAACTTGCAGAATTAGTTACTCAGTTTGATCATACAAGTAGTCAGCAACAATTTTGTCCTGCCATTTTTTTTGAAAAGAAAGGCCAAAAAAAAATTACATTATTATTAACAGAATTTTTAGAAGCTTTTTTTTTTAACAAAATGGAGTAAATCGTCTTATAGAAGAAAGCATCACATCACATGTCAAAAACCCACTGAAGAACCATGATGGTGATGAACCACGCTTTGCTGACGGGTAAGATGTTTGCATGTGCAGAAGCTAAATACCTCATTAGCCATTTGTACGTGTTCTTCTCTCAAACATGTGTTTTGTTCATACAGCTGCCTGTCCACCTAAGCAAAGGAAACAAATGCATAAATGTGGAAAATTGATGGAAATCTGAGCCTGTTGGTTGGAAGTCTGAAAAACACTCAAGTTTTGTGCAGTAACAACGAGAGTGTTTATTGAGATATTAATCAGCTCCTTCTCACAGCTGTTGTTTGCATGAGTATAAGGCAATGTATTTTTAAGTTTTACCCAATTCTGGTTGTTTCTAATGCTCATGTTCTCCATGCCCGTTCATATCAGGGTCTCTTTGGTGCAAAGAGTCAGGGTTCAGGCAAAAAATTACTGGCAAAAATGCAACCTACTGTTATTTACGGTGTGGCCCTCTTTGGAAGATGCAAGGGGCATTTGCAGGAGGGAGAAAAGACAAATGCTGCAAAGAATGAGACTATCCCAAGGTCTTCAGAGAACTGCAGCCCCATCGTATCTTGCACCAAAGAGCCATGAGCCTGCAAGCAGGGGTTCCCATGCAAGGCAACAAGCTGCTTTCCAGCATCTCATTTAAAAGAAAGAAAAAGGAGGGTTTTTTCCCTCTCTCCAGCAATTATTTTAAAGCTGCTGTAAGACCCTTGCAGCTACCTGAGATTTTCTAGTCATCCTTGTACATAACACAGATGGTCCTAGTGAGAGGCAAAGTAAAGATCAGGTCGTTTTGCTCTGAGAGCTTTGCTTTTGAATTAACAGCAATGCGTGTTGGTGAACATTACATTAGGAAAGGACACAGTATATTAGCAAAGGAGTGGCCTATATGGAGTGGCTTATGGAGTGGCCGATATGGAGATGTTCAGAAAAACATCTGAAATGTATGTAGGTGTATAAACCACCTTAAACCACATTAAACTCCASTTTCACAACTATTAGACCATTTCCAGTGGCCATGGAGGACCAGAAACAGGTTTGCTTGTACTTCACAGTGGACAACATCTATTATTTTAATAGAAAAAAACTTCTCTTTCAGGCTCACAGAGCAAATATATTTTTAAATAAGGAGGATAAGCGCTATCTCAGAAAAAYAGATGATCCTGCATCAGCCTTTCAAACTGGCCTTATTCCCATACTAAGTTCTTCACGAAGAATTTCTTTGTAATTCCTTTAGTCTTTCCACTGTGTGCATTTCAATGTTTGGCACCTAGGCTCTCCCCTCGTCCGAGTTTTCACAGCACAGTTGCAAAATACAGAGTAACAGCCCATAAAACAAACCTCAGCGCTGGGAAAGCACTTATTGCTTTAAACRATGTTGGTGTAAAACCATATGTGTGTTATTTTTTTGATCTCTGGAACATACTCAAACGTTGTGGCTTGGGGGAAGGGGTGTTGCTTGGTTTATTATTATAAGATAGACTGATCTCAAATCCATTGYAGTCAACAGAAGAGTTTGAGCGCTTTTTGATCAAACTCACATTGAGTTGTGAGTTAGCAGAAAAATAAAAAGCTCACCAAGTGGTGTTGGTTGAGACAAGGTTTGACGAATGGCCACTACATACAGGAGTATGGTGCAATTTCATTCATCAGATAGAATATTCTGCACCATAAACACCAAAACACCAAAATGCTGGGTCACCTCATTCTCTGCAATGACAGTACAAGCATGAACAAGAGTTTCTCACAACCTTGCAATAATCTGTTCCAAGTCTCTTAACTATCCTCACTGCTAGAAGGCTGTTCTTTAATAGCAAATCCGTTTTTTTGTTTGTTTGTTTGTTTGTTTGTTTTGTGATTCTGCTGCATTTTAAATCTGCTATCACCCACAGGTCAATAGCATAATGTGAGTCTGTGAACCTGTTGTTTTTTTTTTTTCCTTAAATTTTCTCCCCGGAAAAAGGTGTATCATCACGTTTATTTTTGTGAGAGGGTCGCCAGTTAGTCTTAAATTTGTTTGAATTAGCTTGCTGTGCACTTAATCTGTTATGTCATGGTGTTTTACACTGGAGGAGAGGTTGCATTTCACCAAAGAGCAAAGCAAATCCTTCTTTCCTTGGAGATGGGAGATGCTACTTCCTTATCCCTCCTATAGAATGCATTGAAGAGGATCTGTCTCAATACACTCAGTAGCCCCATCACTAAGATTTGAGGGAGTCCAACATTTGGAGATACCCATGGTCAAGATGTAAGCTGACTGCTCTTCATGCTTCATCAACATTGCGGGCCAAAAAAGCTCATGATGGACAAGAGGGACAACATCTGATGGCACTGAGCTATTGAACTGCATGACAAACTCTGGTCAGACAACATAATGTCTTGGGGAAGTAAGCTAATTTTCCAAAACTTCATGTTTTCAGGAGGAGAGAATGGAAATAGATGTTGATCTAGTTCTTTCTGATACCTGGCTTGGAGAAGTTTATGAGACAGCAGYGTTTGGATTAAGGAATCTCCAACTGGAGGCTTTTTGGGAGGATACCACCAGAGAGAACGAGAACACAGCATACGAGGCAAATAGGTGGCCAGATCAAAGATGATACAAGGACTATCTGGCTTTGTGCAAACTAGATCAAATTAAAGGAAAAATCAGAAGAACGGACAGTAAGAGTGGATCAGATCTGAGAGAAACCAGAGCACCAGTCAGTGACCAGGCCATGAATGAGGGGCAAATAGCTTCTTTTATAGCACAAAATCCCCCAGACCAGAAGAAGAAAAAATAACCACAAAGCAGCGCAGAGCAAGCTCTGCATCAGCCTTTTGCTTCCTGCCCTTCTGGCTGCAAAAGGCGGTCTCCTGAAACCCTGGCAGAAGTCGGCAGGAAATTATCCATTCTTGTGATCAAGGGGAAAAATCCTCATTTAACTGAGCTGTTGCCAGCTAGTGCAGCTTTCCTGAGGATCACTTTACAGCGTGAAGCTTAGAAGGCTTTGCAACGCAGAAATCCATTTGTTATTCCATGTGGTACTGCTCCTTGTACTAACCTGACAAAATATTGATCCAGGGAGTAATGCATCCGCTTCTGCTCTGTGCCCGCTCCAAGCACAATGGCTTTCCAGGCTGGGTTTGTGGTTTCTTGACATTGCCACCTGGCATTTCCCCAAAATGTTCTTTTTCTTTTTTTTCCTTAATCCTGGAGTTACAGAAAGACACCTCTTGAGGGCAGCATGTCCTCTTTTTATTTTTTTCCCCACCGCTTTTAATGACCCTGCTTTGCTTTCAGGCTGCATCAAATGGCTATGTGAAGCCACACTCCTAAGCATGACAGGTGACATTCTTCTCCTTCTACTGCTTGAGTCAATGCAGCTATCAAAGAAAGCTAGCAGGATCACAGCATTTATCCTCACGATGTAATACAGCACTAGAAAATATCATCACATTAGAGATAGGGAAAMTGTGGATCAGCAAGACCACGCTCAGGACAGTCAAGGCAGGACTCAGTGCAGGTCACCTGAATCCTTTTGCCCTATGTTTTTCTTTTTTTCTTCTCCCCCTATCATTTCTTGCTCCGGATCTACAGAGAGAACATTCTGAGTTGAGGCAAAGCGGGCAAAGTAGGGCAGAAACTCTGTAAACGCATGAAGAACAAGGGGTGACACAGAGGCAAGGGCGGTCTTAGAGGCCTGGAGAAACCCAGAGCACTTAAATATGAAATGAATTGCAACTCTTTAGTGCAAAAACAGAGGAAGAGAATATTGCTCTGGCAAGTATGCCTCAAAAAATGCCCATTTCTTATAAAAAACAAAACCAAAAACAAACAAACCTCTGAAAGCAGCTTTATAAGCGCTGGTCTATTATGGTCAGAAGCTCWCCTCTACTTATATTGTACTTCCTACCCGAGGAAGACATCTAGGCAACAAGAATGCAAGAACATAGTGATGCCATCTTGACGCAGAAGCTGTACCCCCCGTAGCAACCATGTCTTCTGCACAGGTGTTTCTGACATTGTTTCTGACATTCAATATGCAATGAAACACACAAGTTWAAAAAATAATTTAAAATAAATTTCTTATGCTCCTGAGACTGACAGAGAAGGGAAAGTCATTGCTGGAAAAAGAGCCCTGGGACAGGCTGCCCAGGGAGGCTATGGAGTCTGCTTCTCTGGAGGTCTTCCAAACCTGTCTGGATACCACTGGGTGCCCTGTGTGTCCTTGCTGGAGCAGGGGCTGGACTGGATGATCTCTAGGGGTCCCTTCCAACCTCAACTATTCCATGAKTCTGTGAAAACAGCTTGGAGGGAGCCCTTTATCTCACAACATCAGCTCAGGTTGGTTTTGGAATGAGTCTTTGCCCAGGGAGGTTGTGGAGTCTCCTTCTCTGGAGGTCTTCAAAACCCACCTGGATGCCACCCTGTGCCACATGCTGTAGGTGTGCCTGCTTGAGCGAGAAGGTTGGACTAGATGATGTCCCTTCCAACCTTAAATATTCTGTGATTCTGTGAACATACCAGATCAATGAAAGTAAGAGGGCCCTTTTCAAGCAGGCAGTAAGCCAGTCTGAGGGAAAGTCATTCAGGTCCAATCACACATTAGACCTTAAGAGGACTTAAGTCCCCTGTTCCAGCAAGGCCAAGAGATATGAGCAGCACTAACCTCCATCTTGCAGAAGGATTTATTTATAGGACTCTCTTCAGCAGATCCCTTTGGAGGAATGGTTCCTTATTCAGGAGGAATCCCCCCTTTGCTTCGGCGTGTGTGGTTTGATAATTAAACACACTGCTTGGAGAAAGCTCTGCTGAAGGCCTGACCTCCTCCAGCTTTGCACAGAGGGTTTAGAGCAGAGCACTTAAGGGCTCTGCTCCCAGCACCACAGCTTTCCTTGTGTACTTCCAGCCAAGACACTAGAAACTTGATAGTTGCTAGGAAAAAAAGGATATCTAGAAAAAGAAATTACAGATTATGTTAGAGCAGGAGGTTTTGAAATACCCTTTGCCATGAGCAGGTTTGGCTTTCACCTTGAAAAATGGATGTGTCAGCCTAGCAGGTTTAAGCCTATGAAAGTCAGCCAATGCTGCTGGACTACTTACATAACCTGCAGTCCCCCCACTCCAAATGACAGTGACAAGTGAGTGTTGAACCCAAGAGCCTGCGTGAACTTTAGGGTGGCATGTGCTATTTCTRGAGTACTTTGCACCTCCAGCAAAGAGGAGGGTAGAGGCTCACGCAGGAGCTGGTCTCTGTCTCCTCAGCCCAGGGGTCAGGGATGCAATTCCAGCTCCTTATCTGCAAGGGAGTGACAAAAATAAAGTAGTTCGCCAAGAGGAGTAATAGGGCTTGAACTATGGAAGCCCAGGGATACAGGCTTCCTTAGCTCCTTACAGGCTCATAGGCAAAAAATAAAAGAGGAGAACAACGAAAAAAAAACATTAAACAGTACAGATTTAAGCCATCCAGGATGTCCTACATAAAACTGCAGAGCAGCTTCACCCCCTTGAAAGTCAGGGCACAGCTGCTATTACACAAACTACATGTCCCCCAGCTCACACACTACTGTAACACTGAAGACACCAAAGCAACACTCATTTTTTTGCTCCAGTTTATTTCTATAAATTTGTACAAAAAAGTAAATCTGTAATACAAGTCTATCAAATATGACAGATGAACATTTGTCATTAGAGGCAAGATTTCAGGAATGTGAAGGACCATCCTCTTGCATGGAACAAAGGCACATTTTAGAGCTTGAAACACTCAGCCAAACCGTTGAAAAGGCAGGTCAGACATGCAAGTAGTGCAGTGGTTCAGGTTTCTGCTAAAACACACTGTACTCTGAAGAAATCTCACTACAAGCAGTGTTCACAGCCACGTAAACATTTTATAAACCCTTTAAAAAACATTTTAGAACCTATGCATAAAAAAGGCTATCCCTTTGCATTCACACTGGGTGGAATAGTTATAAAAACCATCCTCAGGCAGGAATCAACTCCTAGCTTTCCCCAAATACTTTGGGATCCAGCAAGATTTTTCTCATGAACTGTCCCACTGCAGTTACTCCTACAGACTAGCCTAAGGGTCTGCACCATTGGGGCYACCTCATTGCACATGCCAGCACTCTTAGAGCTTTGGAGTGCTGCAGCTATCACCAAATCCAGTATCTCCTGCTACAYGCCCCCATGCAAGCAGCATCTAGGGACAGACCTGCTCATAAAGTGACATTAAACACAGAAGTGGAGCTACAGCCACCAAAATATCCAATACACTGACTCAAGGTCCATTGGATGCCCATGTCTGTTGGGTTTCTGCACTGGGCACAGTGGGTGCCTCACCTAGGGGCTCAGCAACTTGCTTGCATTGCCTGTGCTTTCAGGAGGGGCTTTTCCAAACCAGAAATGCCCTTGTGCTGTGCCAGCATTTATCAACATGGCTCTTGTGCAACGTGCCTGTAATACTGCTGTTCTGGTCAAATCAGCCAGCTGCTTTTTGATTAAATAAACCAAACGGATCCCACTTTCCCAGAATAGCTTATGCTGGTGGGTACAATCATAGGAATGCTTCTAATCCATCTCTGGCAATCCAAGAGCATTATAGACCAGATTAAAGGCAATCATTTCCCCCATCCAAATCCTCACAGCAATAGAGAGTTGTGCTCTTTTGGATAGAAAGAAGTTTGTAATGGGATTTATCCAAAGCAAAGCCTTTTTTATTATTTTTTTTTTCTCCAAGAGATGTAACAATGCTTTAACACTTCCTTTGAAAGACACACACACCCACACACACATTCAAATGTATGACGACAGCTTGGACTCCTGCAGAGGATGTGCTGATTCCAAGAGGAGATGCTGCTGAGCCAGTCCCTTCAGTTGACTTCCAAAACCTCAGTCTCTGGCAGACCAAATTTGCTCTTGTATTTATCAAAGAGTTTGATCAGGGAGTTCACATACATGCTGTGATAGAAGTCTATCTCCTTCTGAGATGGATTGTAGATCTTGGGGATGGTGATGGGCTCCCCAACTGAAAAGGCAAAGATCCACATGTTAGGCTGACCATTCCTGTGCATCCTGGAGAGCTSTTTGCTAAGGCCTTGGCTAAGCTAGTTCAGCACATCTACATTAGAAGCCARTTTCTGCAAGCTGTACTATGCTCCCCAGTTTTGCTAGGCTCCAATGAGGAACTACAACTRCCCCACCAACAACAGTGATTCCTAGAGCAAATGGGACTTTGCCTGTGCAAAGGACAGCAGGATTTCRCCAGTGAAAGTGCAGGTGCTCCCATTGTCCAGAAGGGTAGGGAAGTTTTGCTGCTGTTCATAGGCTAGCAATAAATCCCTGCTCAACAACAGCCAAGACAAAAATCGCTTTTCTTACACATTCTCCCATGCACACTGCAATAGCATGGTGAAGMAGCACCCTTCTTTCCTCCAAAGCCTTGCTGCTTGGGGATAGAAAGCTTGAAGGCCCATTTCAGGGTTGCCTCCAAGGCTCAAGTGTCAACTCAAGTGTCAAGCAGCACCACAGTCAGTCCTAGGAGCATCATGGGTCAGGCTGCTTCATATTTAAGCTTTTGTCCCAAAAGAGCTCACAGGTGTCCTACAGAAGCCTGAAGAGCAAGACTGGAGGCTTTCAGCCTCTAGAAGCTGTTCTAGTTCTTAGCTGTGCTTGAAGTTTAATATAGAAGGAAAAACATAAGTTCTAGTCAAGAGTCCAAGACCAAGCTAGAGATATGTATGGCCCGGACTCAGATATGCTTCTCTGGAAAAGCCTAAAGCAAAAAACATGTTTATATCAAGCACTTACCAACAGTGGTGATGGGCTTGGAGTAGGGTAACAATCCCCATGTGTTGGAGGAGAAGAGGCCACGGCCATGAAAGATGCACGGAGCAAAGCCAATGTGTTTCTGAAACTTCTTYTGCACCCATCTTCCCCAGGAGCCCTCCTCAAAGATCACCTGCTTGTACACTTCGTTCTCCCCAAATGAGTAGACAGGAACCAAATCTGCCCTAGAAAGACAGAAGGGTGTTAGGGCCCCATGCCAGTGAACTTGAATCAATACTGCAGCACCAAACTTGCTCCTGTTTGCTCTTTCAGGCTCTGCTTTTGCAGATTTTATTAGCTAGAGCTTTGTTTGCAGTATGAGATACTGACAACAAGTTAACTAGACTTGGCCTGATACATGATAGATGCRCTTTAAGGTATAAACAAAAATTCTCCTGACACAAAATGCATTTAAGTCTAGGATTTCAACATGTGTAAACCTTATCTTAACATATGCAATCATTTGAAGCAARTACTATCTTATGTACATGCAATCATAGATGCTACACCGTGGTATCACTGAAGATATTTATCACATCCGATTTTCACTAAAAGATCCTTGCTGTCCTCAGCAGCTTCCTGTCTCTCTGCTGTCCATAAACAGAACAGAGACAAGGCTTTGGGCACAAACCCCTACAACACAGCAAAAGCACAGAGAGGAGAAACCATGCAAACAATTAGACACTTTGGAGACAAGAGCACCTCTCGTAGGCTAGAAGTGCTTAAACTAGTTTAGAGACAGCCTCTTACCCATGCTGTAGAGCCAATTTCACAAATCCTTTCCGGTTTTTCAGTGTCACAGAGTTCTTCCCTGGGGTGCAATTAAGAGACTCTGCTGCACCTCCCACCACAATGATGATGGCATTGCCACTACCATTCTTGGACAAGATGTAGTCTATGCTGTCACGGTTCACAGGACATATACCTATATTTAAGGAGAGAGGCATAAGGGTCAAGCTACAAGATTTAGAACAGCCTGGATAATCCTGAGGACACTAGCCAGCCTTGGAGCAGAAAGCTCATGCCTTGATTGAGTAGAGCTGCCAAGATATCTTGTGATTGGAGGATGGAGGGATGTTGTCAGGTAATCTGTTCTCCAAGCAGGTACTTAGAGCTGGACAACACTCAGCTAAGCCATAAACTCTGCCAGCTCTTAAATAATTTCCTTAATACAAAAGGACTTCAACTGTCTCTTCTGAAGCTGGTAACTTAGTGCTGGCAAAGTAATTGCATTTCAAGCAAAATTTTTCTTCCACATTTCATAATGTCACAGGCAATTGAGATCTTCCCTCAAAATAAATTTTGCACTAGGTGCTGGATTAGCTTTAGGGTAGAAGCACAGCACACACTGCTGGCTATGAAAGCCAGATCAAACTGCTACCCAGCAAAAGCAAGTGGTGGAATAGGCCTTCTGTTCTCATAAGAAGGCATTAGTGATACAAGCAGCGTAAGTGGACAAACTTTCCCCATAAACCTCTTACGGTCAGCTTCAAAACCAACTTTTTCCTGAGATAGCTCAAGCTCTGGCATTATTAGAGCATCACCATCTGGTTTTGCTCTCAGAAGGACAGATCTGTAGGACAGTACACCCTGCTAAATCCCTACCTGGGTCAAATTGCTTGGAAATTCTTTAGCCATCTACCTCATACTGAGGGAGCTGTACCCCTCTATCACAGTACTTAATTTCATCTCCTGCTCTAAAAATAGAGCACAATTCTCTACTTCTGAAACTCAACTCATTCTCTTATACTACATTTAGTCAGAGACTGTTTAATTATTATCCAGGATAAGCCTGTCAGCAGATCAGATGCCACCATTTACATTCCCATCCACATAACACATCAGAGCCATGCTGAATATTTGAAAAACAATGGGAGGGGCAACACTACCCAAATTAATTTTAGAAGCTGATTCTGCGGGTCTCAGGGTAGTCATCACTTGAGCCAAGAAGTGAATGATCAATTGGCCCCATGGAACTGCATGATGCAAGTCTGCAAGCCCTTTACACATACCCTGGAAAAATGTGCACTGAAGTCACATGAAGTCCCAGCTCCAAACCACAAGGGAGCAGACTTAATTCTATATAGATTTAAGTATTTTGAAGAGAAAAACCTCCAAGAAAAATAACTAAAACACAACTACAATTCTCCCTTATCACACTCCCTCCAAAAGGCTCACAAGCCAAGCTTGCTGCTCAGTAGCTCAAATTCTTCACACTAAGGCTTATTTTGACCATGCAGCCCTTACTAACAGGCCCACAGATTTGTTCCCAGCCATTTCATGCTTGTGAAACAAGCGCCGCTCACAGCCCTAAGCCTCAAAATCCTTCCCCCAGAGAAGGCAGACAAGTTTATCCAGAGGCTCCTGAGCACATATGCATAGTATATAGGATTCTCCTRGCCATTTCCCTGAACCTTAGGGGATTCCAGCTCCAGCTAAGATCTCTAGTAGGCAATAAGAAATGTGACAAAACAGGTCTGCCACAATTTACAGACTCAGTACATGCATCAGATTAGTATTTACCAGGGTTTCACTTGAAACGATTCATCCACACAACTCAAGGACTGAAGGATGCATTAGCACTTCCAAAGTGACATTAAAGCCATCACACTGCCACCCTTAAATATCAATATAATCAGAGAAGAATGATCCTTCCATAAAGTTAACCTTGTTTGAGAGATCAGTCTTGCTTGCTTACAAACCCAGAGCAAGCAGAATTTCCCTCTTTAATTGCAGATATCTGGCATAGCCAGACAGGTCTGTCAGTGATAAATGTCTTTTTTCCACTTTCCTTCCAAAAAAAAAGGAACATGACTTCATGCACTGCAAGATCCCCAGGAAACCACAGTTTTATTTAGTTGTTTTTATCTGATGCAGAAAGATAACACCAGCTTGTTTCAGACACCAACATCACTCTTGTGAGATTCTTGGGTAGGACAGAGCTTTCCTCCACGAGATCCAGGAGCATTCCCTTCCAACTCCCACAAAATTTCAGTAGTCTGGACTTCATTTCCCAGGTAATTAAGAGCCAAGTACAGATACTCCTATTCTCTCTGCCAGCCATACATTAAGATTCAGCTAAAAGGCTGCATCAAAATGTCTGGTTTAGTCTTTGGTTGCAGGTCAGCTCTGAGAGCAGCAAGCACAATGGCACAGCTGAAATGCTGCAATATCCCAAGCTCTTTGCTCCAGAAGGGCAAGCACAAGCAGCCAAACCAAAGTCACCATCGTCCCTGTGATGATGCAGCTGCCCAAGTTGTCCCAAAGATGGGAAATTCCTCAGACACATGCTAGGTCAGGGAATGCTTCTGCAGGAAGGGACAGACTAATTCCATCTTCTGACACCAGGATAAAGCCTAGCTGCACTGCAATTCACATAATAAGAGGAGCATTTCTACCCATGCTATTAGTTTCAGACCCTAAGAACAGTTTGCCCTTTCGGCTAGGGTGACTTCTTTGCCTATTAGCACCTCCAGGTGTGAATTAAGGCTTGCTTTGCATCTCCATCTTCTGTATCTGCCGCTACAGATGGATACCCTTAATACATCTTTAGAGAAGAGAGTCCTTAAGTAAGGGACTGCAGCTGAAGCAGGACAACCTTTATTCACCTCCTGTGACAACCAAGAGCAATATTTGCCAGATGCTGCCAGAGAGAAGTGTTTTTGAGGACTTTGCTGCAACTTTTGACTTCAAAGGACAGAAAAAACTTGGAAGCAAGGGCACAGAAAGGAGAAGCAAAATGCATTTGCTCTTACCACCGGACATTAAGTAGTCCCTCAAAATGGGCATCCTGAAGTTCCCAGCCAGTGTTGCAAGGTATGGTCGGATCCCGGGGAATTTCTGGCTGACTCCTGTGGCCTCTGTGCTGAAGTTGCAAAAGGCACCCAGGCCCATGATGCCATGCGGATGGTACCCAAAAATGTAATTCCTGGTGGTCAACAGGTTGTGGGTTTTAACCAGCTGGAAAAGAAAAATGGAATGAACACGTATGTTTTCAGGTAATGACTAGAACCACAGGGCGAAGRAAAAAAATAAACAAAAAACCCACAAACTCTGAAGTCCCCAGGGTAACTCTACTGCTTTTGCAGCCTTTCCTACCAGGGAAAAAAAGGAACTAGTGTTATGGGTTTTCTTGGAGAGCAGAAGTTGCAGTAAAATTAACTCCTAAAAAAATCAAGGGGAAGAAAATATACAAACTGATCTTAGATGTCAAGATGACCATGACAGCCAACAGGAACAAGTTTTGGGTTTCAGCAGCCTGTCTTTTGTTTCCCCACACCGCTTTCAAAAGTTTTTTTGCAAACCTTTTGCCCAAACCAAGTTCTTCCTGGTCCTCTAACCACAGCAGGGACTGCTTCCAGACCCCGTCTCAGTACATTAGCAGCTCACACTCTAGCTGAGAAGAGCTTCAGTGTCCTCTTACTGAGCCAGGTTTACTTAATACCTGAAAACAGACCAATTGCTCACTTACCTGCAGGCCATCTTCCAAGACAGAAGCTGATRGCCTTGGCATCTTACTTGCCAGGTACAACCAAAATATCTGGCCTGTTTTCCAAGAAATTTTGCTCTGCCTAGTTCCTCTCAAAGTGCCAGCAAAAGCCTCAAGCCACCTAGAGCAGTGCTTGGATTTCTACAGGCTGTGCTCCAGCACAGACCATAGCAATGGGAGGCTGCACAACCATCCTAGCCTTTTACTCATCCATTTTCATATCTTTGCCACACTGAGGTGTTCTCAGCTGTGCACAACATGCTTTCATCAGGTCCATTTTTTTTTTATTTTAAATAGTGCTGTAGCAGTAGTATCCCAAGCATCAGGCAATTCCAGACTCCCAATAAATGTACAACAGGACTGATGCCTCATGCTGCACTTAAGACCAGCAGAGAAACAAACCACCTACTAGCTTCACAGCTCCTTTTCTTCAGCTAATACAGGAACAGGAATCAGATAAAATTAAATAACAACAACACACATAAAGCATTGATATGAATTTTGACAAATAGATGCAATACTCCAGCTGCCATCAACGGCTTCATTAGATGCAGAACTGCACCCCAGCCTCCAAATTGCTTATAAWCTGTGGTCACAATCTGTGGCCTACAGCTCACGTAGGAAAAAGTGCAGCTTTCCAARGCATCACACCAGCATTACATCCCCCACCACCTTGGCCCAGGAGGCCTCTGGCAATAACAAGCAACTTGGGTTTCAGCTACTTGCAGCATGATTCAACACAACCCATTGCACCACACTGAAGCAGGGTGCCCAGGAATTTGCTCCTCTCCTCCCATCACCTCCCAGGTGGCAGCAGTTGCATTTATTTCAGAGGCCAGCAACGGCACAGGCATGACACGACCAGGAGCACATTCAGCACGTTGACTGCTCCTCTGTTTTCTTCCAGTTTTGAAGTCACATGGGGCTGCAAAAAGCATGCAAAGATGCTCATGATCACCCCTACTGCAGCAGCTCTGCTGAGCCACATGGCCCATACCACAGCACTGAGACATCCTTTCCATTTGCCCCTCACCAGTTCACAGCTGATGACTCGGCCTTCCAGCCCCAGGGTGGAGAAAGCTCTTGCTCTGATTTGACCAATTAAGAAACAGCTCTCAGATGAGAGCTGGAATCYACTCTCCAGGGCAGACCAAATGGAAAAAAAGCAATGCTACAATAAGCAATTGTCCCCTTAGCCTGTTAGCTCTTGCTCAGCAGTAGGAGAAACTCAAGTCCCAGTAGCTACAGACACRTGGCTCAGCTGGACCAGCGTTGTGCCTGGCAGAGATTTTTCTTGAGAGCAGTTCTCAGAGCAGGGTGGAAGCTTATGGGCTTTGAGCCTGATCCTTCACCTACAACAAGCTCAGTCCCTTTAAAAAGAAGCTGGCTGAAAATAAGGTGTTTGTCCTTGCTGCCCCGGAGCTCAAAGCCACAGTCTGTGCTGCAAGAGGCACTRTAGAAGACATGCTGTTCTGCTGCCAGCCATGGCGAGCATCCAGCTCTCACCCCTCGGCCACGTGCAAGGTCACCCACTTCCCATGCAGAGTCCATCACTTGGGCAAATGAATCTTCATATGAGCCCTGGCCAAGCTCCAGGCTTATTTTCCATGGTCACTATCCAAGACCTCCTGTTGCAGAGGTGTAAGGTGACACTTCCCCTTCATGTTGATACCCAGCCCAGCCGCCCAAGTAGTGCAAGGGGTACGGAGGGAACCAGGACAGGGAACCAAGGGCCCACYCAGCATTTAGACAGGTGCTTTCTCCCCCCAGATTCCCTGCAAGTTGTTTGCCCCATGTCACTACTCATAGCAAATTATCCCATGACAGGTGATGGGTTCAGAGAAGGTGACTACACCATGGTCAATCTGGGGGACAAGTCTTCCCTTCAGTTCAATCCAGGGCAACCAAGGATTGCCAGAAACCCAGACAAGTTGCAGTAGCTGCTAGTGCAGATATTAGTGCAGGTCCATGAATGCATGGACCCAGCCTAGAGGCTGAGCTGTCACCACTGAAGGCAAAGACAGCCTTAATTCCCTGCATTTTATCCTAGCAGACCTAGAATTAAGGGCCTTAAGTACCTACCCCTAGGCTCAAGCCAACACATAAAAGTAAAGCTTTCCTTAGGAGGCTGATAACCCATACTAGTCTTGCACTTCTTCAGGTAGAATTTGCTATCTGTCAAGCAAATATTGAGCTGCTGTGTCTCCAAGAGCAGAAGAGGCTGATTTATTGGGCTTAGGAGCTGCTGAAGCCATCATTTGATGACTTTTGTAACTGTCCTGAGTCTTCAATGGGTTTTCCGTTCTAGCAAATCCTTCTCCAGACCAATACAGGCATGAACTCGCTGAAACCTTAATGCTCCATTACAGGATACAGCAGCAGATCCTTGCTGCATCCCAGACAACAATAACTGGGAATAAAGCTGGATTCTGCTGCAGTAACACCTTTTCCCAGCTGCTGTAAACTCCTGTTCAAGACAGATCCCATTTCAGTAGCAAAGATTCAACCACTTGTTCCTGTATAAACAGATTTCTTTAAACAGATGCAAACTGGCTACAGAAGCAATAAAACAATTCAAATACTGTAAGAGAGACAGAATTAAAATATTGACATGCCAAGTTCACCCAGGGAACAGAACTGCCAGCTTTACTTGTAGATACAGGATGAATAATCAGCACATTCAAGTGTGCAGAGAGACTGCTGCTCAGCACCAGGTACCAGCAAAGAAYATGGTCAAAATAAGGAGTGTAGGTAGGTGTTCATCTTTTCAACCTGTGTACAAGGGGAACACAGCAGTGACTGCAGAAACATGCAGAAATGAAGCAGCAGAAACCTGCATTGAAGCTTGCACCTTCCTTCCTCTCCTTCCTACTCTCACCTTCCTTCCAGCAATGTATTCCAGCTCCAGGAAAATCCTTCAGGCTCTATTACCAGTCCCCTACATTACACACGGGAAGCAGAAGCCTCCCTTTCTATTCTGCAAGTCATCTGTAACAACAGCCTAAGGAAAAGGCTTTGCCAGGAAGGCAGCAAGCCAGAGTGCAAGATAAATACTGTCTTGCAGAAGTCCCTACTCTGGACACAGACTCTCCAGTAGCAGGAGAAAAAAATATATATATAAAACCTTCACTGCACACATCAGGCATATGCTCAGTGCTTTACATCCCCATTTRGCCAAAGGTCTGCAGCCATTGCTACCTGAAATGCTGTTGAGAATGTGAACACTRCTACTGCTTATCAAGTGCTGGCTTCTTTGCCTCAAGACCTTTAGATCAAGGCATGCCCCACATTTTGTCCTCACCTTGGGAGGCTGGCTGAGACCTGCCCTGCATCCACAGCACTGCAGTATAGCCCAGTCAAAGCACAGCACCATGCTCACCAGTGAGAGGCTAGGCCAGTTGGGCACCAGCAAACATGGGCTACTGCTGCTCTTGAGTGGAAATTCCGCCAAATTCAGGCTAGTTCCCAGCCTCATATAGGTCTGGATATCTCCAGATAGTTACAGGATGAATCAGGATGGGAGACTGCACCCTTGGGTACAAGTTAAGCCTTATTTGAAAAGATAATCAGAGCAAACCCTGTTGCTTGTCATGCAGGAATGTTGTCAAAGCAAGCTGGATGCCAGCAGGTACAGGTATAGAGTGATGCAGCAGAACTAGCTAGAAAATATAAACAGCTATCAGAGGTTCAAGCTGGTGTCGTTTCAGTCCTGCTAGATCCTGCCCCTGCCCAAGATCAGAGCTCAAAGCTCAGAACTCACCCAGAGTTGCCAGGAGGAAACCTCAGCCTTCAGAGTATAAACCAGTGACTAAAGAGCATATTAAGAAATCTCTGCTTTCAAGTACATCTAGSATTAAGGCTTCTGCCACCCCCTGGACATGGTCTCCCTATTCCTGAAGGGATTTGCTTAAGGGTTTTGGAAACATTCTTCAAAACTACTTCCCATTTCTTTTCTGGAACAGGAGTGAAATCTGGGCCAATAGCCCCAATGCAAACAGTACYTCCAGCATACATGCAACCAGTCCAGCTGTACATGCAGAGTCTGCAAAACCCAAGCAGAGCATTACTCTGAAGTTTAGCATCACAAATGGTGCAGGACAAGGTGACAACTCTCCTAGCAAACCATTAGCCAGGGTGAGGAACCAAACCCTTGTGAACTCTTACCCAAGACTGTTCAGAATGCAGCCAAGGTGAATTTTGCAGACAGAAGATTTAACAGGTGACCAGATCAGTGTCCTTCTAGCCCAATCACCTCAGTCTCTTATCTAAGGAATTCCCCAGCCCTTAGCAAGCTCATGCAGTTCTGGTTGTYGGTACCACTCCCTGCATCACATTGCGTTTGTGCTTTATTCAGGAAGAGCTCCATGATTGCAGAGGGTTTCCCACACCTCCCTGGAGAAGGTTTTATCAAACATGCAACCAGCTGGTTATKTTTCTAGATACAGAAGCTACCACAGCAGTTATCCCTCTTGCTCTGCCCTTTGCATCCCATTTATCAGTGGGCTCTGAACTTCAAGCAATTCTATCCCTTAGCGACAAAATAATTGCAATTGTAAGCAGCATTTGCAAATGCACTACACATACTAGCAAGTATTTTAAAATAACAGAAGGTCAATTTATCTACCCAGCTTCGTTTCTAATCTGACTTTAACTCTATTGTTTGACAAACTTCTATAACACCTGGAATGGATCTGATCTGCATGGCCTGTGAAAAGCATGTTTCCATAGATGTGTTAAATATGCCATAAGAGGAGTACTGGAACAAGGACACCAGCTGTTACAGGTCACCCTGTCGTATCAAGTCCCTACATTAAACTGTTCCATTTTAGCCTTCAGCAATACCAGGAAGGCAGGATTTGTTCCAGTACCAAGGACTTGATGCTCAGTACTTGAGCAAACAACTCACATGAGACCCATGTTCAACACCAAGGCGTGCACTTTTTCCATTAGCTCCAAGGCTGGGGTGACCAGCCTTTAGTAGCCTCTGTAGCTCTAATACTTTCCATGTATGCCTCTGCTTGCCAAGAGCTGCCAGCATCATTAACAGYACAACAAGCATGTGACAACATTTGTTCACTAGCCTCACTCAGAGGACGAACAACCTTGAAAAGGAGTCCAGCTTATACTGAAACTGGATTCTCTGCTCCCTTCTGAAGTCTGGCTGCATTAGGGCAGGCTGGTTTTATTAAAAGCCACTCCAAGGTCCCACTCTCCCCTTGCTCAGGGAAGAAAATGCCATAACCTCTCATATCTTACATAATGCTCCCTTCACCTGTGTCCTTCCAAAGAAGATTTGAGCTTCATCCCAGCCAAATTTGCCCTCTGCTCCCTTCCAAGTCCTTCAGCCAACTGTGTTTTAGGCCAAAGCTAAGATACATTTGCAATAGAAGCAGAGACAGGGCAAGACTGCTTCAGCATATTCTATCTGGAGATTCCAGCAGGGAAGCTTAGTGACAAGGCTAAAAAGCAGAGTTTTTGCAAGTGACAATACTGCCATCACCAATGACGCATTTCAGATTTCACAACTGCAGTGACTCCACACAGTGATATGGCAATGCTAAATAATCATGTCCTGCTTACACTTCACTGTTGTGGGCTGACTAGCACATGTCCAAAGTCATGTCCACAGGAGTTATTACAGATCTGTTTCCAAAATGGTTAGTCCTATTATTGCATAAAACCATTACTTACCCTTATTGGAAAGTAGTCTCTGAAATATCTCCATATAGCCCAGTTTCTGACCCACTGGGATCTTCTACCTCCTGGAGAGAAAGCAAGTCACATTTTAAAAGCTATTCCACATGGGTTCCCACCAAGCATCCTAGAAGCATATCTGATCTGAAGTCCTCTATCTTACTACTGGAGAGAAATGAACAGTTTCACTTCAAGGGAGAGGAAAATGGGGTAACTTCTGCAGAGATCASGTTAAGCAATCAGTGTTGAGCACTTCAGACCATTTTGGCAAATTACACAAGGTCCGACTCAAATTCAGGCCGGGGTCAAACTTAATGCTCTATTGTGGTAGGGAACTGGCTAATTCAAGCTAGCAACAGTTCCATGTTACCACATTTGTCCTTAGGGGAAGGAAGGTCAAGTTACACAGAAAAATCCCCAAGCTCTACACGTCCATTGCCACCAATTGGCAATGACAAGACATCAATGAATGTTATCTTGCCTTGCCCTAAATATCAAAAGAGCTTGCAGACACTCCCTGTGCCTAGCATACACTTGCACGCTTCAGTGGGGAAAAAAAATGCTCTCAAATTCAGCCAAAAAGCCCCACCAAGATGGGAAACTCTTTATCTAAAGATAGGGACACTTGAACAGCAGTGATCTGGTCTGGAATATTTACCTTTCTTTGGTGTATTCCAGTCAAATACCAGCCAGGCTAAATACAGAGCAGCAATGGCCCAGCAGTCTGTGCATAGTATGTACATGAGGATTAAAGTGCAAGCAATACCTGGGTAAGTCCAAGAAAGAGAGACAAACACAGTAGTGTCAGATTTTGGTCTGCAGAGGACATTACCATTGGCATTAAGAACCCCTTGCCTTTTGACCCTTCTGTACTTAAGCCGTCATGTGAGGTCATTAATCCTCAGATTGGATTTAACTAAGAGTCCTTATATAGGACTGAAACTGCTTCCTACAAAGCTACCTGCCACCCAGTTCCTCTACCCGCTTTCCATAGTTTTTCCAGCTGAAACTCTTCCAGTCTCACCAGGCAAGGGACACTTCTTCAGCACCAAGATTTGCTGTGACCAGCCACGGGGCTTTCTTCCTCAGCAGTATGTATGACTCTAYACCACCTCTACAACAACAGTCCTACCAGCTTGCCAGACATCCTATCCACAAGTGATTCTGTTTTAGCTAATTTAGAAGCTAAATTGTAATGGAAGAGACTTGCTCAACTTTGACTGCAGTCCACATGCTTCTTCTGTAGAATTACGATTAAGAACACCACTAGGAAAACAGTCTGAAGCTTCTTATGAAAGCAGTATGTCAGACTAACAATCCTCACTGCTTTAGTAGACTAATACCAGAATACTTTGTGCCCATCTCTGGGGCCACCAAGCCAAGAGAAGGACGTGTGGGAGAGCACAACATAGCCATGAAGTGACCATCAGTAGATCTTCCCATAACTTCTATGACTGTCTACATCTGGACAAAGTTTCTTGCCAAAGTATCAAGTCACATAAGCGTCCTCTGCAATACCCACCCCTCAGATGCCCCGTTGCTGTTTATATACAATAAATAAGCTTTTACATGACTACTGTTTTCCAAAGCTAACATATTTGCATGGAAATTCTAGAAGAATTTTAAAGCAGGAAAGCTTTCGAGCCAAAAGGCTTTACTTACCCATGACAAGGAAAGTGAGAACCCATTGCAGCACAGAGATGATCTGGAGTTGTTTCTCTACTTTGGATTTTGATAGCCAGAACAAATCTTGCAGAGCAGAGAGAATGCTCGAACCTGTACCTAATGACAAAATAATCAGGTTACATTTTTACATTGTGTGCAGATGCTCCCTTTAAAGGTGAGTTAAGCTTACACAATACTTTGAGATGATTTTCATAGATGATTTTCAAATCAATGTGCATGAATCATGCTTTTAGAGCAAGATTTGTCCAAAGCTACTCATGGAGCTTAAATATCCGGAAGAAGCACTCCAGCCCACAAACATCCAGTTGTGAGGGGGCACTGGAACAGTAAAATGAGTTAGCACCTGAGCACATCTCTGATTAACTTGCCTGTAAAGGTGCAAGGGACATTACTCAGGTCACACAYCAAGGCTTCTTCTAACCCAGTGCTGGGGACATCTTGTAGTTCCAGTACAAGCCAGTGACTCTTGCAGAGTAGAACCAGTCCTAACACTGTTGAACCCTGTATCCCTGTTTCAAATTGCTGCTTCCTGGAAGTAGCCTTTGCTAACAAGGAAACCCTCAGGTTCACCATGATAGACAAGATCAGCTGTCCCAAGTCAGCAGTCAACATGCACCAGACTGGTCTAAGTTATTGCTCATCTGTTCTTCCCAGCCTGTTGCACAACTCCCATGTACGTGCTCAAGGAAAGTGTTGTACTCCGGACTTGCACAAAACAGCTCAAGGGTGGATTGAACAAGGTCCAAGACCCCTGGGATCCACAGCTCAAAGGGTAAGGAAAGCACAGTATTTCTAAAGGAGTACAAAGGGGAAGTAGTAGTTGAAAGCCACTGCTTTAGAGGGCTGAAGTTATTCAGTTGGAAAAAAATATATATACACACACACAAAACTGAACTGAAAGACTAGATTCCTATGAGTAACCACCAYGCACTGCAGCATCTGCAGATATGCTAGAAAACTTACAGTAGAAAGCACTTGCAAGTGGTTTTGATTTCACTTTTAATTTCATTACTTCGTTTCACAAGTACTAAAATGCAAATCAAGCTGCTGACCAATTAAAAGCCAGCAGGTGAAGTTTACATATTTGTCTTTCTATTTAATAGTTAGCTTCTTCCCCTCCAGGAACAGGGGAGCTGCAGCACCTCTTGTTAAAGAGAAAATTGAAGTCAGGAGTCACTTTTCCAGATGGGTCAAGGAGGACTATTAGAGCTGCATTGGTGAAGTCCAGGTCCCCTTCCTGGCTCACAAAGCTGCCCAGCTCTCTCCAGATCAGAGCTGYGGGTAACTTAGTCCTGCAGCTGCAATGCACAGCCCTGATCCAGCAAAAGAGCAGAAAAGCCATCCTGCTTCCTCCCACATCACATATACAATTAAGGCAAGAACTGCATTAGCACAGGACAGCCCTCCTTCTGGATCCAGTCACACAGCTCTGCTATGGACAGGTTTGAAGCTGCACTTCCTACTCAAAGACTTCCTTTTGCCTCTTGAAGCAGCACACTGGAGCATCAAGCCTTTATGAAAGCAACCTTGAGAGCTTCATAACCAGTACACCAATCTCACATTTGAAGGAGCCAGCTTCCGCCTGAAATGACTTTTCTATCTTGCTTGTGTGTGTTCAGCCCAAGTGATGACAGCCTATCCAGCCCTTCCTTGTTGCTCTGCATAAAGATCCCTCAGTTAGTCTAGATTTCTAGCAAAATGAAGTGTTTCCTCTAGTAGAGCCARCCAGCTACAGTAACAACCTGAAAGTCAGAAGAAGTACAGGGGCTTTTGAGAACTACAAGTTATGTATTTCCAAACTACATGCCTTTCTGACCATTTCTGATAGAAAAGGAAATCAGAAGTGAGCTACACAGTAAGCATCAGCCCAGTTTTAGAGCCAGACCACCAGGTCAGGTCCCTGGCTGCAGTTGCCCTATGTTAATTTATGCTTCCCCTGATCCTAAATGCCAAACAAGCTTCACTGCCGCTTCTTCTGCAAAGTTCAAAATTCCYATCTCGGGGATTTTGAAAGCCATTTTCCTCTCCATGTCATGACAGACACCACCACCACCTTCCCCATCAAAGTACAGTTTCATAGCTTTGTAAGTCTGATGAGATTTGACCGGTTTGCTTCCAAGACAACAAAATGAATATTTCCAGCAGGGAGCTGAGTAGACAGAAGTTCAATAGCTACCCCAGACAGACTAGGTTTTGGTGAAGAATATAAGACTGGTCACTATAATGAAGTGTTAACTGATAAGCTGAAATCTACATCTCTAATACACAGTTTAGAGAGGCAGTCTGGACAGGCTGTGAGCATTTGGCCTTAGATRATAGCACCAGTAAATATCACGGGTTAAGTGACATTGGTATTAACTCCTAGTTAAGACATAAGAAGTTCCCAGCCTGTCCTTGGATTGCTTTTCACTATGTCAAGAAACATTACTCACATATTAAAAACCCAGTGCTAAGCATAGGAGAGTCAACATCTAGTTCTGGGGGAAAGCCTAAGAACTATGTTTAAATATGGCCCATCAGACATACCCATGATTAACCACGTCAAGGCAGAAGGACACTGACTACCGAGGCCTTGCACATCCATTTCTATCCATCTCTTCCCATTGGCTGATGTTTAATCCTGGAGGAACACAACCACCCATCTCCTAACYGATGAAGAAGACAGTTGCTTGTGTCCTGGCCTCCTTGCCCAAGCCCTGGAGTGTTTGCAAGCTGCTGTTATGGTCACCAATTCCAGAATGGAGCAATCTACTCCTCTAGGGTCACATTCTTAACAACACACATCTATGCAGAAGAGATCCTAGCAACAGCTTTTTAAAAGGAGATACTGAACCCTTCAACTCACATCACAGTCTATGTCCTTGAGTGCTGGGCTAGACCTGACCAAACTGGGAGAACCATTCTTCATCCAGCACTCAAATACACCACAGAAAGACTAGTTTCACACCAGTACTCCTTCCTCTCTACCTTAAGAGAAGSTCTCATACAAAGGTTGTAGAACCAGGTGCTTCCTAAAGGCTTCCTCAGGCCAGCTGTGAAGCAGCAGGCTCTGCTGCAGGTCCAAACACAGACAAGAAGCTCTCTGCAGTACACCATGGACATCTCCAGTGAGGCTACTTGGCAAGGTGGCCAAGAAATGCCTCCTCCAGAGGAGGCCTCACTGCTGCCCACAAGAATCAGGTGCAGGAGATTACTAGGGAGATCTTGAGCCAATGAGAGATTGAATCAAGCTAACTGACTTGCACATGTAATGCAGACACAGCTAAGAAATGCACATGGAGCACTTCCATGAAGATTTATTTTTGACCAAGTACATTACACATCACAACTTATCTAGGCAAGGAGGCAGACACAAAGGTCTTTGGAGAGGAAATGAACAGGATTTCACACTCAGGCAACAGAAGGCTCTGTTCATAGCTCCTAATTAAGCATCAGCCAAAAAGAAATGCTGTGAGAAAATATAAGTGCTAAAGGTAATTACACTGAAAGCTTGCTAAAGCCAGACTTCATCTGCTGCCTTTCCAAAGCAATTAGCACGTTAACTCTTGGCCAAGAGTTATAAGGCTTATTTTAATGAAAAATAAATTTGCTTCTTTAATGAGTTGAGTGCCTGCAGAGCACAAAGTGCAAATGGAAGTGCCAAGCCAGGTCTTAGGAAGTAAAGCTGATTTGGGAGGTGGGACAGCAAAGCTGCATTAGATAAGCAGACCAATACTAGGATACTTGTGAGGACTTAGCTTCCCATTCAAGAGCTGGAGATTGCAGAACAAGTTATTACAGATGTCACACATTTAATATAGGACAACTTGATCAATGCAAGTTATTTATGTTTAGGCTTAGATTTGCCGACTCCACTACACAAGCTCACTCTACTTCCAGCTTTGAGGTATTAAATGGCAAGTCATTCGCTACAGAAGAGCAAATTAGCAGTGGGGTTATCATTACACTGCCCTGTACACAGCAATGCAGCATTTTGCTTATTCCCTAGAAGGCTACAAAATAATCCTGCATTATCTGCAGCAAATAATGTCTCAGACTGGAGGCTAAGAGCATAGCTAGCAGCAAAGGGCAATAGCAGCATCATTAGAGAGAAGGAGTATTTTTCACAAATGTCCTAAGCAGTTTTGCCAAGGGGGGAGGAACCCTAAAACAGAGGTGGCAGTGATGCTACTCAGGAGAGCAACAGGTTCSCCCCTTCCAAAGCAGGAGGCCAAATCCCCATACAACACAAGGCCACCTCCAAGGCAGAGCCAAATGAAGCTGTCTAGTTTGCTCCTCCACTTCCTTCCTCACCCTGAAGTTTTGTTCCATGTTCCTGAAGTTCAGAATGGCTCTAGAGCTTGTAGCTGTAGTCCAGCCACAGCAGAGGGGTAAAGAGTTCCCCAGCACACACAGAGATGGATGGAGAAGCAGACAGAGACCAGGTTTTTGGAAGAATCATCTGCACTTTGCCATATTCAGCAGGGTGGTGACAGGTTTGTCCTGTGCCCAAACTCCACAACAAAGCCACAGGGCAGAAAAGATTTGAGACTGAAGGATAATATGGACTATACAGCCTTCCCCCTCAAAGATCAGGCTTTTGCATAGGCATAAAAAACTACCACAAAGACAGAATAAGACCACTAGACTATTATAACCCTAAACACTGATGGAAGTCAGAGATCCACCCTGTAGTCCTGATACTTTCACCACTCCTACATTACATTAAAGCATTTCACCAACCTGGTAGTTCTACCCCCAAAAGCTCTAGCAACAGAGTAGATAACTCAGGTGAGAAAGAGCTGCTTGGCTCAGGTGCATCAGGTCTGCAACCCAACTGGGACGCAATCAAGCAGAACCCAAGATCCTGGGTGCTAACCACTATGCCCATCACCTCCACCTTCCCTTGAACCACAAGTCCCCCTTAGCCATCCCCAAAGGGGGTTTTTGATAGGCTCTGAAGGTCCTCCTGCGTTTTGTTACTCATGACAGGCCCTGCAGAGCTGCAAGCAATTTGCCAGCCTGAAGAGGGGCCATGCTGCTCAGCTGTGCTCTTGGTAGGTGCTGCAGTTACCAAGGCAATGGCTCCTGCTTCTCCAGGATGRTTCTCCAGACAGACAGCACTGGCAAAAATGGGTAAGGAAACACAAATTATCACAGGAGGAGCCCTGCAAGGTGCCTCAAAGAAAAACTGACCTGAAGGGAATTAAGACAGCTTTCCATCTCTAAGCAGGATTAACTAGAGATGAGGCCAATCACTGTCCCTAAACCACAGTTTTGAATTATGCATGCGTCCTAGATCCATCATTAACATGCTAGCTCAGGCTGGGTGGCCGCAGAGGTCTCAGGTCAGCACCTACATATTTTATAGGTCCCATGAATGATTTATTCTCCTTCCTTGGACTGTAGTTGAGCTCAACTCATTCAGTTGAGCAGTTCATTCAAACACCTTAATCTGAAAGCAGCGTTTGGAAGTTTCCTGGCTTTTCCTGGGTGTATAAATGAGCTAAACCACTCTAACGGCCAGAGCTCAGGATAGGAATGTTATGTGGACCTTCTTCAATCAGCTCACGGCTGATCCTAAGATCAGGCCAGCTGGCACAGGTCTCCAGCCCAGTAAATGCCACTTCTTCCTGGCAGAGATACCCACCAGCTGCACATGCAGGACTGGGTAGGACAGTGGAAGAGCAGGAGCTTGGGGGATACATTAAYCAGGTTGCTCATATAATGATTTGCTTATTAACAAGCCATTCCACAGGTTTCTTCATCCGACAAGGAACACGCTATTTGCTCTTTTGAGCACAAAGTCTTCTGCAGCATGGGCACCACATTCACTCAAGGGCCGCTATGAGGTGGAGGGCAAATCCTCGTCCAAGTGCATTTTCATGCAAAACCTCCACTGTTTGGAAGTCCTTCCACAACACATCCCTAGACAGGCATCCTTGTGRGAGGGATACAAGGCTCTGGCAAACAAATATTTACTCTTGCTGGCTTTATAGCTGCTCAGAGCGGCTTTTACAAGCATGCACAGCAGCTGCAACGCAGGATTTCTCACGCTGTGACCATCCAATGACTACAGCCCCAACCTGATTGTTTGAGACTGCAGGAGGAAGTGCTCGATAGCTGCAATAGCTCTGCCCACATCAGGATGTCAGCAGCTAAACCCAACCTGCTCCTCTCACCAAGGAAGTGCCTCACCAGGGCAGGCAGACTAGAATGCAGAGCTTCAGCTGTGTTTTCCAGCACACAAAAATATACATTTTCAAATTGAACCTTCAACCTGCCTTTATAAAAGGCAAGAGCAATACTCATTTCTGTCCCCACTTCAGATGCCAGCATAAGGATGATGGCATGAGAAAACTAGGCTGAATTCACTGCTGCAAGAGAGGCCACTGAAACTCTTGCACTCTCCTTGCTACCCACAGAGAGCACTTGATGCACAGGGGCATTTCACCAACACACAGACCCGGAGAGCACCCCAAAAAAGAAAAGAGCAAAACCCACCCACAGCCACAAGCAAGAGAGAGGGAAGAAGGAAACAGAATTAAATCAAGCAGGTCTCATTTTGCAGCAGAGGGAAGCTTTTTCCACCCTTTTCCACCTGGCAAAGCAGGTGTTTAGGGTCTCACCTTGCACCTTCCTCCCCTACCACCCCGCCGTACCTCGCAGGACCCCCGAGTAGGCAGCAATGATGGTCTTCATCACGGCGGGTCCCTTAGTGCCCAGCCCTGGCCATGGGCAGAGCCCGGCTCAGCAGCCCCGCTCCGGCGACTGGGGCCGGTGCTCCCCCGCGCCACCCTATATAGCGCGAGAGGAGGAGGAGGAGGAGGAGGAGGAAGGGGAGGAGGAGAAGAAGCAGGAGGGCGGGCAGCAGGACGCCTGGGCCCCGCCGCTCTTTCACTCCCTCCGCGGACCTTGGTCCGCCCCGTGTGTGCGGCTTGCGGCGCAAATCCCTTTCCCCGTATTTTGGGCATCGCGGAAAATATTTCCACCCCTGTTCTTGCTCAGGGGGCTTCTCCGCTTGCTGCTGATGCCGGCGCGGATTTGAGGCTGTATTTAGAGCTGATTCCTCCTCCTTCACTGTCTTCCTGCATCCTGAAGCCTGGAAAGGGCTGAGGAGACAACCCGGCTCCCTTGGTGAATTTTAGTCGCATTTGCAACGCGAATGCGACGGCCGGGCTTGTTTTAATCACCGTGCTTGTGTCAGTCTGTCCGTCCAGTAGCTTTTAACCTTGCTTGGCTCCTCTCATCCCATCTTGACAACAAGGCAGCGGGTTTGAAGCAATTGCATTCTTGGAAACAGCACGAAATTATCAGAAAGTCATCAGATGGGAAGTGGCCATCAGGTATACCCAGTCTGCCCACAAAGCTTCATGTGCTTCTCCTGGCTTGGACAGCCAGGCTTGAGAGATAAATCCCTAACAAACCGKGTGTCATTAGATTTTCTCCTTATACATCAAGATATTAAGCCAGCCACACTTAACAAGAGATTTCTCAGTGGTTTTTAGAGATAAACTCAATGGGTTTGTCCCAGCTCCCATGAAATGAAAACAGACCCTTTGTTACGGGGTTCAACAGGCCCCGTGGCTAAAGGGAAGATTTATCCACACAGCTGAGCAAAGGACCAGGGCTTCAAAGCTTTCCGGTACCAATTTCATCTTCTGTAATATCGAGAAAATGGAAGGAACTTGGGAGATCTCTTTGTAGTCCAGAAAGGAAAAAACTTTGAAAACATTAAGCRTCGAAGTGCTCACCGTGAGTCAAGGCCAGGTAACCATCACCACCACCCAAGCACCTTCAAAGCCTCAACTCTCACCTGGCTTTTTTTGTGGGAGGAGTTTCAGGCCTTGCTAAGGCAGCAGTTTGGCATGTTGCTGCTGGGGATACCACTGAAATGCCAATTTTGCAGCCCAAGGGACATGTCTGCTAGGCTCAGGCCACAGCATATTTCGCAAAAAGTCTTATTTTCAGCTCACTATCAGCTGTGAGGAGCTTAAATTAGAGGTGCAGAGGTGCAAGAGCGGATACTTTTAGGTTTTTTTTTTCTCAATTCCCTGCAGTATTACTGTACCAGTCAGTCATGTTGGCATCAGGGCTCCTTCATGTCACCGCTGGCCACAGGGCTCTCTCCCAACCTTTGTAGCAGTCTGTTGAAATGCTYGTAAAAGTAGAAAATTACAAGAATCTGTCTGAAGAATGCATCTTGCCCAACAGCTCTTGGATGCAAACTCCAAAGGGGAGCTCGGGAGAGAAATAAATCACCACTAGAATAAAATAGTGAGCGAAAGGGGAATGGTCTCCTGAATGTCCGTGTCCACTGCTGGCTTAGAACAAGTTACCCTGAAGGGAAATAAGGGTCATGGGTGCTTTTTTTTTTAGGGTCACTGAAATAATAATGTGCAAAATTAGTCTTCCAGGTCTTTGTGACAGGTAAATAGCAGTAAATACTTCATGGTCAGGCTGGTGGAGGGAGGCCAGAGGAGATCATGATCCTCAGAGGACAATGAGGTGCTGTGATGGAGCCAAGGGATTTACACCCATGGGTGCAATGCCATCAGCCTTCTGACCTCCAACCATCTGTTGTACAGGTTGGGTGCAAATTTGGGGGATCCTGATAGTTTCCTTGCTCTGCGTGCATGCCACTGTAGGGTCCCAAAGTGGGAGGAGGCCTGACCAGAGCCATGGCAAGCATTAATAAAGAGCAATAATCCAAAGTTCCGTGTTTAAGGAAGGATCACAATTTTTAGGAATAAAAAAACTACCTCTGTAGCCCCTTCTGGAAGGAAAAATCCAGCCCCAGATGTAGCTGGAGCCCCATCATGTCATCTGCATTCAAGCCAGGAACTGGCTTCAAGCAAGTGGGAAATCTCGGAGCAGGCTGTGCTCCCTGCCCACCCCGGGTTTATTTTCCCCTCCAGCAGCACAACTTGGATAAATGTTTCTCCAAACTGCCTGGTTTGTTTTGCTCCATGCTTATGGTCTTTGGGAGCRGGAGAAATTCGACTCTGTCTGCTATTAACCTGCGTGTCAGGCATGATTATCCTTGAACAATAACATCCTGTCAAATAACTTGCTATTACTGCTCACGGTATTTTTCAGAGGTGGAAAATACCATGTTTTCAAAGCATAGCATGCATCAGTGTCCAGCACCTTCACCCAGGGACTGGGTGTTAGAACTGCCAATATTTCATGTTTTGGGAGGCGTGCGCTCAGGTTGAGCCTATCCACTTTAATGATTCTCTTTCTCTGGCTTAAGAAACGTAGTGTTGCTTCCCCGTCTTGTGGTTAAGGTTCTATTTGTGAATTTTCAAGTTTTGTATTTCTGAGAAGTATTATTTTTAGTAGACTCTTGGACAGTTGCAAATCTTAAAGACGGAGTGTTTACAGGTGCCAGGGCTGTTTGTGTTAGTCCAGGCCGTCTCTCTCCAACCAGAATACAACCAGTATGTGCAGGAATAAGCCTTTCTCCCCCCAGTTTCTCCTAGTTACTCCAGTGCCAAGAACATGCTGGGACCATCTCTATGGTGGCTATGAGATCCTAGCTCAATATGTCTCTTCTTGAGCTGACAGGAGCCACATTCTGGTCCCATTAAGCATATTTTTATTCCAGCACCTACAATATAGTGAATCCAGGTTGGAAAGAAGAGGCTTTGCCTGGTCCCATTGCATGAAAGCACAYGTGAGGAGTGAGGATGCTGATGGAGAAGACTCAGCAGGAGGTCTTTGCAAGACTTGTGCTGCCAAGTTCCGCCAGCCCAACAGGGATCTCCAGATCTCTGCTGCTTCCATCCTTTCTTCTTCTCTGGACCCGCAATCATCCCTGTACCTGGAATACTGCAAGGTTTATCGCCAAGTGATGCAAGAGACTAGGAGAACGATAAGAGCGGGAATATAACAAGGAGTTTGGACCCGAGTCAGCCAGCCAGCAAGATTTGCCTTGTCAGATTGCCAAGCAGGTGAAAAAGGGTAAGGAGTAGYTCCAAGTAAGGCAGGGCTGGTCCTCCTATGTACCATGTATAGCACTTGTGCAGTGCATGGCCTWTTGCCGTCTATCTACAGCACCTGGACTCTGTCCTCCTTCCAGGACCTTGTGTCCTACATCAACAGCAAATTGAAACCTGCAGAGCACAGCAATCACTCGTATGAGCACAGATGCAACCAGAGCCACCAGGTGTCCCCTCAGGAGGCACCTTCCGATGCTGGCCAAGCCTTTGGAGCTCCCAATGAAGGTCCATCCATCGCTTCCTCAAGGGTATTTTTAGCCTTTCATGCAGAAGTAGTGCAAAAGATTCATCTGCCTTTCTTCACCTCAATGCTTTTTTCTGCGGTGAAAGTTCGTGGTCCATGTAACAGATACGGTGTTGCTGGCTCATGTGTTGCCCGACTGATGGACCTGGACTTTGAGCCAGATGAGACACCCATATCGGGAAGAAAGGGTGTGTTTCCTCACCTGCGTGTGCCACTCACTTCTCCTCCAAGTCCCAAATCAAGCTGCGTAAGTCCTGGGTTTGGAGAGGGAAACTGAGGCACTCAGCCATCCCCTTCATATTCCTTTGGTAAAATATTGCAAGAAATTCRGRGGATGYTGGAGYARAGGATGAGTWGGAGCAGAGGATGAGCAGCCTTCACCTTTGCACTCAGCATCTCCAAAGATCCCCTTGGTCCTTCTACCTGCTCTTGGTGGCTTTTGGCGTGATCATATGGGTCATATTTATAATGCACAAGGAAATATTTTGTTCCTGGARTAGATGTTCTGTGCACGCTTTCAAGTTCAGCAAATTTAGGAGACTCATGCAGTCCTTTCCAATGCTCCCTCTCCACAGGAATCCTTTGCCCATGGGCTGAAACGGGTCACGGTTCAGACACACAGAATCAACTGGGACCAGGTACCCAAGAAAGACACCTCAAAACAACATGCAATTGGCAAAYAGCATTGATTCAGCCCAGGTTCAGAGCTAACCTGAGCAAAGAGGAGCTCAATGGGCACCCACCAGGTTTTCTTCAGTCCTTTCTGCCTCTCTGTGAACATCATGGTCCTCCATCTCATTTTCAGTATGGACAACACTGCTAATTTTGCTGCTTTTACAGCAAAAAAGTATGTCCTGCACAACTTGCTGCTTGATGGTATAAACTGAGTTCAACCTGGAATCTGCTCTTTCCATTGCACTTTCTTTTTAATTTTTTACATTTGCAGAGTTACAAATTCTTTACCATGACAGTGGTTTTGAAGTGGAACCACTTCTCATTTTAACCTGCCCTTGTACAGCTTTTTTTCAGAAGAGGAAGCAAAGTTTGGGCCCAAACTGCAACAGATGCTGCCTCACAGTAATGTTGCATTGGAAGGTGTTAAAAAAAAAAGATAATAATAAAAATAAAAAACACAACCCTCCCTTTTCCTTCCTTCTCCTCCCCAAAATAGCAAGATTTATGCAAGTCCCTGGGCAAAGCCAGATTTTGGCTGTTGGCAGCTGGTCTGGGTCTAGTTGCCTCGCTACAGTCTAAAATTAGAGCACCTAAAAATTAACTGTGCCGCTAACGAACTTTGGTCCTTGTGCTGAGCAATGGCCGGAGAATTACTAAGAGGTACCTAATGTCTTTCCTTTTAATTCAGCTGAGACTTTCCTTGGATCACAACTTTGGGAATTTTATGTTTCTCTCAGTTATTCTTGCTCTCTTCTCCAAGTAGAGTGTGTGAAAAGGAACTGTGGGATAAAAACGGTTAAATATAAAGAGGGAAAAGTG